GTAAGTCTTCGACATTGGATGCTGGCCACATTAGTTTTGACGAATTCACTACGTTGAATGCGCTCGATCATGCATCCGCACCAGATCACGAGTAGGAACGCCGTGCTCAACATCTACTGCAATCTCTAGCCAGATTAGATCAGTTGATCCTCAATATATTGGTAGCCTATCAAATATATCTTTGGACCTCCTCACTTCTGTCTTTTGATTTTACTTGGCGGGTACGATTCATAGTAGAAGGTATTACTGGTTAAAGCGTTGTCAGACTCCAAATACATGTGGTACCTTCAGGTTTAACTTCAATTTTTTCAAACTTTTTCTCTAAATAATGGGCAATAATTTTCTTTTTTAATTACAGTAACAATTCAAACAGATTCAAGTGGATTAATTTATCTTTTAATATTCATATATGATAATCCCAACAAACTGTTGTCTTTGATTAAGATCATGAACCGACTGATGTTAAACCACGATCGAACACTTGGAAGCAACGGACGACCATTTCGTCCTATCGTGGTACTCCTCAGCAGTTTGCATCCACGATCCTGCTCGCGGGATTCAAACCCAGGAGCTTCGGTCTCGTGCGCAACCACATAAATTTAAACCGCTGAGCTGGCCGGCAACCAATCCAAGAAATTGTGCGACCGTCTTCCATTGTACTGAAGTAAATACCTGTCTCTACCCGACACGAATTGCTGTCTAATGTCCTCTCTACTTATGATAAATCAGAGAGGTGTTAATAGTGTTATTATGATGTTTAATGTATAAAACACATGATTGTTTCTTCCTCAAAACTCCCATTACATTTTTCTTGAGCATAAGTTTTTCAACCAGTATTTTTGAAAGATGTCTGCCTTCTATTCTGATTAGTGTTACCATTTTTAGTTGGTTAATAATCTTGTATCTCAGGTTCATGCTTGGTCACTGTATATACATGTAGAGGTGATCCAGGAGAAAGTATGGTATGGGGTAGAGCTTAAAACAATTGAGATCAGCTTATAGCTAGTTTATAACCTGTTAGACGACAGATTCTGTAAATGGATAGTAGCGGTATATGAACTCAACTTAGGGGATATGGTTTATTCATATTCTCGAATCCATCAAAAGACCTAAATAGATTTCGAAGGGTCCCCACGCTGTTTTTAAACAAAGTTAGGTATTCAGGGCTAGACTTGTAGGTTCAGGACTAACTCTTTAATCACGAGATGGCATCAACTACAAGACAAAAATGCTTTGTAGAAATGTGGTTGGATGAATTTCGCCTAAACCATTTTATATGAGGTTATATGGTTATATTTGAACATTTATGAAACAAATGTTTTGACCAAATCATTTGTCTGCATTTGTAGGAAAGTGATCATTAGTTGCTGTGTCCCTCTTTTAGATGTTTTGTGTATATTACTTACATACTTACTTACGCCAGTTACCCCTCGTGGAGGAACATAGGCCGCTTACCACCGTTCTCCATCTAACTCTAACCTAGGCATTTCTTTCCAGTTGCTATTCATCATATTCATATATGCTTGCATTTCCCGATGTAGTGTGTTCTTCAGTCTTCCTCTTTTCCGTTTCCCTTCAGGATTCCAAGTTAGCACCTGCTTCGTAATGCAGTCTGATGATTTCTTTAATATATCTCGTATGCACTTCCAACGTCTTTTATTAATTTCCTCTTCATCTGGAAACTGCTTCGTTCTCTCTCACAGTAGGTTGTTGCTTATGGTATCCGGTCAACGGATATTGAGTATCTTGTGTAGATAACACTGTTTATAAATACTTGTACACATTTGATGATGTTTGTAGTAGTTCTCCACGTTGTACATAATACATCATGTCTTTAATTTCTATCCTCATAATACTTTTGATTTATTTTATATTCTGTGTGATATTCAAATATAAATTTAGTTATCAAAATGGAGGTTTGTGGAAATTGTAGTAATTTAATACTTAAGCATTCGCGTGCAAGACCAAAATATCCTGGGTTTGAATCTCGTTTGCGAAGTCATGGATGGGCACTACTGAGGAGTCCCACACTAGAACGAAGTGACCGTACATTGCTTCTAGATTTTCCAGGGTGGTCTAGTTTAAATCGATTTGTGAATTCAACTATTAAGAATACATTTAGTTAAATGTGTAGTTGATCATGTACTTGATGGTGGAAACTGAAACGTTCATCTTAAAAAATGTATTTATAAACAAGTTGTACGTGAACTAACATCTGAATAAGCAGGCTAATGCAGTAAATGGATAGACTATGGTAACCGTTATTCAATAGATATGATGATGATAAGGAAAAGGACTTAAAGGAAATACAGTAACAAAAAAGGTTATTGTAACCCTTAATTGATTTAAGATATACATCTGAGATCAATATGGAATGAATGGTTGCAATGATTTTCCATGTTTTAAAGGAAAATTAAATAGAGAATTGTTGAGTTATAGTCCTACAGTGTTTTATATTAGATAACATCAAATGATACATTTGTTATAATGGAAAGAATCTAAATGGTACTAGTTCATTTTTGTATTGGTTGTTTGAATCTAGTGACTAACTGAACTGAGTTGTTAAGTGGGTAGTGTGTAGTGTGGCGTCGAATCGCGGTTGACTATGATCACCACTACGGGAAGTATACGTGCCAGTTAACTGATAAGATGCCCCGTAGGTCAAATATCAGAAGGCAGTTGATGTCTGTAGTCGAGATGTATTTGTTAGCGATCTCGTGGTATCGAAAGAATACCGAGATCGTGCCAGGTTGCAAGTGTGGTTACTGAGAGTAACCGGTGAAATGTATGCTCTTAGTACAGTTAAACAAAGAAGTACATTAAAACAATCCCTGGTATGATTGGTTATAATAATAATTGTTTCCATTACACCAATCGCGTTCTGTTGATAAAAGTAGGTCATTACAATTGTAATGGCGTATAAAGTAAACGGTATTTGGGCTCAATTCCCCGAGGCTGTAGATACATTCAGCTGACGAGTCCTAAATAGGACGAAGTATCAAGCATCCTAGATTCCACTGTTAGCCACCATGTATCTGTGCTAATAAATAATACTAGATCTGCGTTAGTAAAGCACCAAGCTAGTTAATACGACTTAAGATGAGCAACTATTGTCCTAAATTGGGTCTACAATCTACAGAGAGACTATAAAAGGTATACAATTAATCCTACTTACTGAAAAATAAGGTTTTTTGGGAACAAACTACGGGTTACCTACTTCTATGGCAATGAGAAAAATGACTGACAGAGGATTTACATGATTCTCACCCAATTACTTATTATCTATAGTAGAGAAGATTTGTAGCTTAGATAGATGATTTTGATGGAGTTTTATTCAGTTCAGAGAACAGAACTTCTGTAGTGTAGTGAACGAGAACACAAATAGGGACAATCAGATGTACTCGAACACAAAATTACAGAATATCTGTGAACCATATGGTAAATACTTCATTTGAAAATTGTCAATCAATCGTCTCAGATCTGATTGTTCTTTCGTTTCCATATCAATCATTCACTGTTCTCATTCTCTTCTCTTCAATCTTCACAACCTTCTGCCTCTAGGTATTTCACTTTCGATTGATGGTACATACTACTTATATCCATCGAAATCAATAGAATACACTACAATTTCACTAATTGGTTACACCATGTGAATCAATTGTAATGGTACTAATAAAGCTATTGTTTAGCCTGTAATCTTATTCTCAACAATTCATAGTCAATCAAATATTTGTATGTAACGTGATTTAGTCTATCATATCTAACGTATCGATCATCAAGTGCTCAGTTTAATATTGTATTATCATAACGGTACAATGGGGGGTACATATATCATATTATTATATCACAGTATTGTACATTACATTTGGTATTCCAACTAATACGTTTGATTCAGTTATAACGAAAATATGACACGTAAACTGATGAAATTCAATCTATGTAGTCATCCATATAGTCGATATCAAAGTATTAGGAATATGATGGTTACTTTTTTACCACAACTATCATCATAAAGGTATTAGTATTTCAATAGTTGAAATCATGAGTCAATTGAAGCTAGACCATCATGGAAAACCTGGAAGTACTGGATGGCTGTTTCGTCCTAGTATAGGACTCTTCAGCAGTGCGCATCCACAATCCCGCCCTCTGCGAGATTCGAACCTAGGATTTATCAGTCTCACACGTGAGCACTTAACCATTAGACCACTGAGCCGTCTGGCACCCAACGATGTTGATGTCTAACTTCAATCAACTCACGAAGTTGTGCCACCATCACCATTGTCTAGGACGAAATGTCTATTCAGTGCTTCCAGGTTTTACATGGTGGTCTAGCATCAACTGACTCATGATTTCAACTATTGAAATTACCAATTCACCACAAAACCCCTTCTGATAATAATCATCTGCTCACTAGTGACTGACTTCAAGAGATACTCCTGGAGTTCTAGTGAGAAGTCGTGACCAAAAGAGTTCAACCAGGTCTGTTGTGAGATATCAGCTCACTGAAGACAATGGTGTACGGTGGCGCAACTTCGTGGATTGGTTGAAGCGCCTGGCGCGAGACTGATAGGTCCTGGGTCCGAATCTCACGGGGGGCGAGGTCATGGATACGCACTGCTGAGGAGTCCTATACTGGGATGAAACGGCCGTTCAGTACTTCCAGATCTTCTATTATGGTCTAGCTTCAATTGACTCATGATTTCAACTATTGAACTTTCTAAAAAAAATCTCCATAAAACCCCTTTCTGGTGTAAATATTTCTAAACAATTGTATACATATGATAATGAATGTTCGTTGTCATATATTATCAGCAATAGGCTACTGTGCGAGAAGACAAACTAAGTTCCAGTTGAATAGGAAATTAAGAAAAGACTATAGTAAGCGGACTATACTCCTCCATAAGGGATAACAGGCTTAAGTAAATTAACTTTGTATCCAGGTTAAGATTAATAGTTGATTACTATAACCCATTGTGTATAGAAAAGCACACACAAAAAAAGAACAATGATCAAATTCTTTTATTGATTAGTAAAAACTCATTTCTGTTCTAAACACAATAATCGTTTCATAATTTCAATAAAGTTTTAACAATATGAAATAGATAGAATAGTGTAAAACCAAAGAATACATTCCATTGGGAAATAGAAGCAGATATCTGAAAAGGATTGCCCAGAACAAAGTTGAATGGAGAATGTTGATTGACGGCCTAAACTCCTCAATGAGGATTAATAGTCGTAATTAATGTGAGATAATGTGATGAAATAGATACACATTCAATTGATCAATAACAACTAGAGAGAGCTGAAAAGGATCGCCGAGAACAGAGTTGAATGGAGAATGTTGATTGACGGCCTAAACTCCTCAATGAGGATTAATAGTCGTAATTAATGTGAGGTAATGTGATGAAATAGATACACATTCAATTAATCAATAACAACTAGAAAGAACTGAAAAGGATCATTCAGAATAGAGTTGAATAGAGAATGTTGATTGACGGCCTATACTCCTTCATGAGGATTAATAGTCGTAATTAATGTGAGGTAATGTGATGAAATAGATACACATTCAATTAATCAATAACAACTAGAAAGAACTGAAAAGGATCATTCAGAATAGAGTTGAATAGAGAATGTTGATTGACGGCCTATACTCCTTCATGAGGATTAATAGTCGTAATTAATGTGACATAATGTGATGAAATAGATACATATTCAATTGATCAATAACAACTAGAAAGAGCTGAAAAGGATCGCCCAGAACAGAGTTGAATGGAGAATGTTGATTGACGGCCTATACTCCTTCATGAGGATTAACCGGCATAAATATTGTAATGTAATGTAATGAAATAGATACCTGTTCATTTGATTCATAAGTATGTTACATTATTATAATTGACAAGTAACAAGATGATGAAGTTTACTAATCACTTGTAATGAACCAGATTGTAATTGTTTCATTATATCCTCATATAATATAACCGATTCAAATTGTATAGATAACCATTGTGCTATTAAGATACGATTTATTTTTGTATTATTCATAGCATATTTTATAATATCTATAACAAAATCTAAACAATCATAATCATCATTGTTACCATGGTGAAGAGATTGTTTTAAATGATTGACGAAACTATAAATTTTTTCATTCCATATTGAACATGTTAAATATTCACATTGAATTATTTCTGATAAATTTATAATAATAGATTGTTCCCAACCAATTAAATCATATTGTATACCATATTGTTTAGTATAATGATAAACTTTACCTATTGAATCGACTACACCACAATGTAAGCTTATATTTGATTGATCATATACAATACTACTAATAGTACTACTAATACTACTACTACCCCTACTACTACTACTACTACTACTACTACTACTACTACTACTACTACTACTACTACCACCAGTACTATTACTGTTACTATTCGATGAAATAAATGCAATCCTTGTTAATGGATATGATGTAAACATAATGGAAGTATGTGCATTTGAATAGGGTGGTAACAATTGAATAATTTTATTATATTCTATGTTTTCATTACATTTCAAACATTTTTTAGGAATATTATTCATAACACATATATAATTATTATCATTATTATATTCATTATTTAAACATGAATGTTGAATAGCTAATATTTTATCAAAAGTCATAGAATTGGATATAAAGATGATGATTATGTAATATGGTACTTTGAATAGTAGTAACACAATTATCTTTGTAACTATGCTATATACTACTTTATATATATATAAACATCTCAAGGCTATACTTTCATGAAAGATCAATAAATCATATGACCTATGGTTATTGAACCAGTGGGTGTTAGTGTAAATCATACGGTATATTTGTTTGTTTGTTTGTTTATTTGTTGTTCTTGAATGGATATATATATATATATATATATATATATATATATATATATATATATATATATATATATAGTGTGATAGCGTATAAAGTGAACGGTATTTGGGCTCGAGTCCGCGAGTAAACATCAACTCAAGGCAGTAGATACATTCAGCTGACGAGTCTTAAACAGGACGAAATGTCACGCGTCCTAGAGGAAGGTTGACGAGTGAATTTGAAAAAGCTCTAAGAAGTTTAAAAACAGTTGAAGATATTCTATCCAATCATTATATGGAAGAATATTTCAGAATCTTTATGTGTTGCTTCCCTATTAGACAAAAATGTGAATAACCCCCCCCCCCATTGTATACGAATTGGATAATTATAATGATGATTTCGTTTTTTTTTTCTTTCTAAAAACTATAAATATTTGAGAGTTTTGTACTACTTGCCTCATGTCATCTTATTTGTGACTAGGGAGGGTTGTAGCATTTGAGTGTTCAAGTTATACACGGTATATCAAGAATCTAAGCATCTAGATATAATAACTGGTGACCGGGATGGGATTTGAATCCACGCAAGGAAACCAAAATGGTACATATTTTGTTTGTTGTTTTTGAATAGATATATAAATAGTTTATTACATAGTGGAGGTATTCTAACTCTTTAATACAATCAATTACTTTAGTGGGTTCATGATAAATATGTTAAGTTATACTATAGTATTCATTTCGTTGGTTACTGTGTTTGGAATCCACAATCCAGCTGACAAGACATTCCTGGCTTTAATAGGACAGGTCCGGTATTAACTTTGTGTTTTGACTTTAAGAATAGGTGCCTCCGTATTATAGATTACTTACTTACTTACGCCTGTTACTTACAATCAAGTATAGGCCATCAAACAACATTATACAACCAACTCTGTCCTCGACATTCCTTTCTATTTCTATCCAATTGTTGTTCATTCTTTTCATGTCTGTCTCCATTTCTCCTTTGGCCTTAAGGATTTCAAGTGATGAGGGTGTAGTGTGGCGTCGAGTTGCGGTTAACTATGATCACCACTACAGGAAGTCTACGTGCTAGTTAACTGATAAGATCCCCCGTAGGCTAAATATCAGAAGGCAGTTGATGTCTGTAGTCGAGATGTATTTGTTGGCGATCTCGTGGTATCGAAAGAATACCAAGATCGTGCCAGGTTACAAGTGCGGTTACTGAGCGTAACCGAATTCGTGCAAGGTTACAATCAACGGAAAAATGTATGTTATTAGTACAGTTAATGAAAGAAGTACATTAAAACAGTCCCAGGTACAATTGGTTATAATAATAATTGTTTCCATTACACCAATCGCGTTCTGTTGATAAAAGTAGGTCACTACATGGAGTTGCCTTGTGATGTAGTTGGGTACTTTCCTCAATATGTGTCTTATTCACTTCCATTGCTTCTTCCTCATTTCTTCGTCCGTTAGAATCTGGTTTATTCTCTTCCATAATAGGTTGTTTCTGATAGTGCCTGACCGATGGATTCGAAATAATCATAGATAGTCTATTAAAATAACTTATAATTTACCTTGTAGAGTAAACAATGTTTCTACTAAAAGAATAAAAGCTCGTACTTTTCATGAATAGTGATAATCTATTTCAATGATTGGGTTCAATTACACTATAGTAATCGAAATTTCGTCATTAAAGTGTATAGAATGTAGATGCATTAAAAGAGATCTCTTGTTCACTGGTTGTATTTAGTCTTCGAATTACAAATCCCTCTTCATAAGCCTGTAGTTCACAGGTGATACAATCAGTGAGATACTAATCTAGAAATTACATAGAACATTCACTGTTGGGTAACTAAGACTAGTGTTCTTTCATGGACTTAATGGTGACATTGGGACTGAAAGATGAATGGCCTAGAATGGACACCTAGTTTTGTATCTATCAATTTGACTGGTTCAATGAAGCAAGTTATATTAGAGTTTACATTTTTGTGCTCATCAACAACTTTTAGGATGACTAAGTAAAAGTAGTGTAGTCAAGACAGTAAACAACTCAATACTAGTCCATTTGAAGCAAACTGGTCATCGTACCAGAACTAGTCAGTCATTCCCGGTTTATCGGGTTAGTAATTAAAAAAAAAAATTAAAGTCGGTTCGACTCAAAATCCTTCATATTACACAGACAGCAGCTATTTGAATTCCAACCCAAGACCTTTGGTCCCGCGAGCGAACTCTTAACCTCTAGACCACTGAACCTGTCAGCATCCAAGCGGTGTTAATGTCTAACCTCAATCAATCCACAAAATTGTGCGACCATCTTCCATTGTACTGAGGTAAATATCTGTCTCTACCTTTCTCTACGCTAGGACGAAACGGTCATTCAGTGCTTGCAGGTTTTCCATGATTGTCTAGCTTCAATTGACTCATGATTTCAACCACTGATGTAATAATACTTATTGCAACCAATGAGCCGCATAATTTGTTGATTATAATCAAACTACTGACTAATAGTCAGTAGTATAAAGTAGTATTATATAAAATTCCACAGTGTAATAAGTAAATTATATATATTCCTTTAACTAATGTTTGAAATATACAAATTGTTGAATTGAAGAGGATTTTCTGAATTTTGTTTCAGATTTATCTTTTTTTCATAGAAAATATTCAACAATGAAGTTGGTTTGTCACTCGTTCAATCATTATTGTGATCAGAAGTATAGAAACTACTGTTCGTAAATGGTTACCAAGATACCAGATAAAACATATGCGGAGGTACTTTGAAATAGTTGTTAAAGGAAATTAGTTTTATGAAATATATGCAGAAGTTAATAGGTCTGAAATTAGATCTAATTTTGTTTCTAAGCAACTTCATGAACTGTACCCAATTTCCGACATTAAGAACCAAATGCTTTCACTTGAATATTTGTTGGAAAACGATCTCCAGAACTCAACATTCAAAAGCAAGTTTTTAAGACGTTTAAAAGAATTTGAAACTTTTGAACTACAGTTGGTTCATTTAACCGATCATTACATAAACGTCTTATTATTTCCCACTTATTGAGCCATCACTTATTAAATGATCTTCTGACGTATGATTCATGGAAAGTAGGCCCCCAAATGCCCTGGTACGGTCGAGAGTGGGGAGAGTCCGCTCTCCCTCTCGAAATGCTCTCACATGGCCATGCGTATATAGACTCTGACAGAGAAGTCCTATTCACTGCCTTCTCACACCACGAGTGTTGTTTACGAAAATGAGAGGACGAAAAGCGAATGTCCGGCGCTATAACCGGATCCCAAACCAATGGTGCACATGGGCTGGCTCCAGTATCCTGAAGGAACAAATGACGTATGAACCAATTTCTTGGTCACCGGCTACCATGGGACTGGATCTCCTCACGATGCTGCACTGTCTTGTGGATCAGACGTTCAGATCGTAGGCTCGGGGTGTGGCCTCCTAAGAAAACCACCTGCTTCAGTTTGGGCATCCAGGCAGTATCACAGCCCTTACACAAATCAATTGAGATTTGTGTGGCGCATATGTATTTGGTGCCTCCTTGTACCAATATCTATGTGTTAAAATAAATGGTGCCTCCATGTAAAGTAGATCTTTTTATCGTCTAAACGAAGTTTCGTATACGTATAGAATGAATATTTATTTCCATAGTTATTGAATCGAATGGATCAAAAATTCTGATTGATTTCTGTGAAGTGATGGAGAAGATTTGTAGCTTAAGTAGATAATCTAGATAGAGTATTAATCTCGGAGCCGGATGATTTAGTCGTGGAGCTTTCATCGTTCTTTTGAATAATATCACAGCTTGTCCTGTCAACCTCAATCTTGACTAGTTATTATTGACCTTTAAAATGTTATTGTCTACCTCTTTATTTTGATTACATCTCTTTCTGATTTGATTCTTGGTCCTTTATTTGTTTATGGATATTCTGTATGATTCATAGATTGGATCGATTTCAATGTATTTGTTAATCGCTAATTAACCTCACAGCCAAGCTCCTAAAAATTCTTAACATTTCCTCTACCCGAAATCTCAACACTTTTCTGATTGAATCTGTCCATAATTGTCCAGATGCATTGATATGAATGAAGAAATATCATGGAATTTAACATTCAATTGATATTCATGTAAGCGAAGATGAAGGTGGCATCCACCTTGTCCAGTGAAGTTCACTTGGGCCTGTTGTGAGATAGTAACTCACTGACGACAATGGTGGGTGTGTCGCTGAATTTCGTGGATTAGTTAAAGTTAGACAATAGCACCGTTGGATGCCAGCCGGCTCAGTAATCTAGAGCTTAAGCGCTCGCTCGTGAGGCTGATAGGTCCTGTGTTCGAATCCCACAAGGCGAGATTGTGAATGCGCACTGCTTACTTACGACTAGACGGACTCTGTAACAACTGTATCTTAAAAAACTGCGGATGAGATGAAACCATTGATAATGATCTGAGATCGAGTTTGTAAACTTGATTGGAGGGAATTACGGATGATAAATTTTTGAAGATACTACAATGTTTAAGTATTCAGACGCGGTTATAGAGCTGTAGTTTATATGAGATCAGTTCATAATCTCAATAAATGAAAAACATTCGCTATTTCAATTGCCTGTAACATCATCAATGTTACTAATCAATTGAAATGGAATGATGATTAACTTCATAATTTTGAACTAAATTCAGTAGATCATCAAAGTGTATATGCTAGGGAAGTCCTACTCACTGCCTTCTTGTAGCAGGGATGTTATTTACAAAATTGAGAGGATGAAAAGCGAATATCGGCGCTTTAACCGGGTCGGTGGACACGAAGGGCCCACCTATGGGAGTTGGAAAATCCTGATTCCAAATCAATGGTGCATTTATGCTCCAGAATCCTAAGGAAACA